ATAACTGATTGATCGGAAATGCCATAACTTTGGTGTTTGTTAGGTTAGGAAGTTGGGATTTTCTATGGATTTTATTTTTGGCCAATCAATCCGACCTACCAAATTTCATAAGGATCGGCCGACTATATCCTATAGCTGCCATATAACTGATTGATCGGAAATGCCATAACTTTGGTGTTTGTAAAGTTAGGAAGTTGGGATTTTCTATGGATTTTATTTTTGGCCAATCAATCCGACCTATCAAATTTCATAAGGATCGGCCGACTATATCCTATAGCTGCCATATAACTGAACGATTGGAAATGCCATAACTTTGTTGTTGTTAAAGTTAGGAAGTTCGGATTTTTTATGAGTATTAAGAATGCATCATATGAATAATTTTGGAGAATATAATTTACAGAGTATTCTGCAAGGGTATATCAACTTCGGCTCCGCCCGAAGTTAGCTTTCCTTTCTTGTTTTATGTTTTATTTGCATAAAAAATTAATAAATAAATTAATATAAAATATTTCTCTATAAGCAGATTAAATTACCAATAGTTAGTTTTCTCTGTTTTGCATATTAGAGTATTTTTTTGCATCCATTTGAATTGTTTAAGTCTTTGGTTGAATTGTTGATTTTTAAATATGTAGGTATATTTTATATACATAAAAATAAATTTCCATTTTTTGTATGCTTTCCAGTGCAAATTAGTCGATATACAATATTTCATAAGACTATTTATCTGTTTGGTGTATGAGGTTATAAACATTAAACAACCTTAAAAAAGACAACACTTTTTATTCTTTAGCTTTGAAGTGTTTAGTTCTTTTTCTGAGTCGAAATAATTAGCTACCAAGTTGACTTACTATTAATTCATACCGACTCATCATGATTTTGAATGCAGTTCTTGGAATTGGTCGAGTGTATTTCCCAATCAACGGCACAATTCATCGCGAATTCAAGCGCACGCGGGCGAATCAATCAATGGCGAATAGTTCGGAATCGAGGGGTTGAGATGGTGCTGATTCTACGACCCAGCAGTTCCCGGGAAGGTGCTGTCGTAATCCCGAGTCCTGAACGGTGTGCAAGGGGCAAGTGCAAGCCAAGTCCTGCCACCAGATGACGCACGATGTGGCCGGAAAAACCCACCAAACCCGGCCACAGTTCCCAAAACCCGAACATCGCAACACACAGGCACAATGGCCCGATTGTTTGCCCAGGAATGGGACAAGAACGTGGACGAGGAGGACCCACGATGATCTAGAATCGGCGGACGGAGCATTCTCACGCACCCGTGGCCATATGGGTTCGTCCGATCGGAAATTCCCAGGTCAGGTAGTCTGGGTAGTCTGGTACTCTGGATGTGGATGCCAGGTTGCAACGCCCGCCAAGAAGCCAATTTAAATAAGCAGCATAAACAAAAGCGACAGCGTTTTATGATCCCGATCCGCGATCCCTTTCGGGATCCTTGCACAAGGATTCAGGTACCAAGGATGCAAGGATGCACTGCACTGCAGAGATATGATATATGCCGGCAATGATGCGCCAACCGCACAGGTTCGTCCTGCCGACGGACTTTCCCGGGCTTTTCCCACGCACCCGCGGCCTCATCTGCGCCCCTTTTATGAGGCTGCATCTGTTTTCGCACCTCGGTGGGTTGTGCATATATGGTGGGAATTTCCGCCCGCCCCTCCTACCTGTTATAACCCCTGCACCACTGCACCCACGAACCCCTGAACTCCGCAATCCGCGGATCAGGTCGAACTCTGTTGGCGATTCTCGGGCGGATTCACTGGGATTCACTGCCCGAAAGTGGCTGGCCGTAATAAAAGTATAATAATCAATTATGCCATGTCGCGAAAGTATTCGCTTTATGATCAACCGATACCCCTGATTGACTTTGGTTTGTCTCTCTTAATCCCAAATTAAAGGAAAATCACTTATATATATAACTTATATAATTTTATGATTACTCCCCAAAAAACATTTCTTAAATTATAGACATTGATCTACATATTTATGTACATTGATATTTTTATAGTACTGTTTTATAGCCTTAAATGCTAATTACGCAAATATGACCTCGTTTACTAATATTTAAGTTCTTTAGATCCGATTTGTGAATGTCATGCTTAAGTTCTTGCTTTTAATTTGTCAGAGAAAGTCAAAATTTTTAGCTTCAAAATCCAATCGATTAAGGATTTTTTGACAAGTTTACCGATATATTTAATTTCGACTTTCAAACTTAATTTTCCAGGATTGTATGGAATGTATGTATGATCAACTCTATAGCGAATTCTACAAGAAATGACATTTAACCTATTTCCCAGGACTTCGACTAAAAAATCGATTTGATTTTTTCTGATTTTTGGCCAAGAAATTTTTCTTGATATTAAATTGCAAATTTTAAGACGAATTCAACGAGGTTTCACTTTCCAACATTAGACCACTATTTTCCAGGGTTTTGATAAAAAAAAATGAACCTGAGTTGACTTTTTAAGGCTTTTCGCCGTATATCTAACTTCGCTAAAATAAGACTCTCAGGTAATGCCTATTTTGTGCAGCAGAACAATATTGTTTTGGAAAATGTTGCGTTTTTACCTACTTTTGCATTTTTTATAAGGGATTACATCGTGATTTTTTTTGAGAAAGTTGGCCAGAAAAAAAAGCCTAACAAATCTGTTGTCGATTGCCAACTAACTAATTTGTACTAAAAAATTGCCACTAGCTTAGTCAGATCAACCCTAACATGATTAGTGGTAAATGTGGCAGAAACAGCAACTAAACCTAACATTAAATTAAGGTTGAAATATAATGTATGTTTTAAGAATACACATATCAGTAAAGAACTTTCTCTCTTTAATGGACCTTATCCTTAGCATATTTATGTGCTTTTGCATATCTTGTGATTGATGAGGTGCAATGTTTTTCGCCAGTTGTAGGAGATCGCGAATTGATGGCTTTGCCTAATCCCCAAGATCTCCTATTTGATGTCGGCGACGGGACTTGTTCAGTTGATCTTCCCAATCCGAGCAATTTATATTTTATAGACCACTTGCATCTCTTTGAACTGATCTGGTTTTGGGCGATGGCATTTTATGATCGATACCCGGTCCATGTCCATTTCAATTTGTATGTCCATGTCGATGTCGATGTCGATGTCGGTGCCAATCATCCATTTGTGTTCGGTTGCTAATGCCTTAAAGCCAAAATCCATTTCGTCGTTTGGCCATATAATCCAACATCGAACATCGAATATGGCACTTGAAAGCACCGCGCGTCTGCATGCCAATCCGAAGACCCCTTTAAAGACCCCCCCCTCTCCCTACTCCCCCTCAATTTTCCGAAGACCCCCTCCCCCGAATTTTCCACCACCTTTGTGATCGCACTTGTCGCTGGCGCCGGCGCCTTCAGGGTCGTCAATTTTGAGCGACATTTCAAACTGGTGGCTAAAAACACAACGGCCAACAACAACCAAACCAAAAGTAAAAAAAAAAATTAAATAAAATAAAATAAAAGGGGAAAAAAGCAACCGAAACCGAAAAACAAATAAGCGATTTTGTTTGGGAAAATTGATCGGCGCCAGACGGGCATTAAACGAAAAGAAACCGAAAGGAAGGAAGCCTGGGAAAGGCGCATTTCCACTTTGTTTATTCGGGCTCTGAGCTCTTTTTAATGGTTTTTTTTTTTGGCCAAATGGCCGAATGGCCAATTAATGCGATTTACTTGATTCACTTTTGCATTTTGCGCTGCGTTTACGACGGCGGATATTAATTAATTTGGCTGGAGCCCACCTAAAGGCAATCTCATTCGGCATTTCCATTTCATACGCATTCCCATTCTGAGTTCAAATCCAAATCTGAATCCAAATCCCAATTCCCCAATTCCATTACGAATGCCATCCAATCCGAGTCAATGCCATTAATGTGGCCATAAACCAAATGTTTAACGTCTATAATTTGTCTGCACTGTGGAACGGCCCACGCTCTATATATTCCATATATATACATATACATATATTCCAAATCCCATCCGATCTCACCCACTCCGCGATCATCCTACCGGATGATTCATTAAAGTCTAAAGAGCTAACTAATAGTCGAAAATTTCATTAAATTCTCGCCTTTCGTTTTTTATACAAGCACATATTTATGAATGTTTATAAAACAGAAATTTCTTTCTTCTCGGTATTGACTGTTTTCCAAGGCGAACAAAGAAGGCGAACTGCTTGATGGAGCAGTGGTCGAACCGGTGATACCCTCTAAAACATTAAGATACCCCTCTAAACAAGTTACAGTACTGAACTTTAAATGAATACCAACTATCTCTATCATTACTAATTTAAAATTATTTCAAAAGCTTAAGCCTGTAAACAATATCTCCTTTAAATATGTTTCTGTACTGAACTTTAAACTTTTATCAACTATCACTAATAATTGCCAATAATATTATAAAGTCATTAGAAGATTAAATATCATAGGGGTCTTTATGATAACGTGCTACCTGATTTGTCATTTAATTTGTATCATTTGTTATTTAATGTAGTATTAATTAAGATATTAATTCTATTGAGTTTCCAATATTTTTTAAAGGGGCCAATATTTTTTAAGTGGGACTCCCATTTTCATGATTTTTAAAAACTATCTCTATCAATATTAATTTAAAAAAATTACTTCAAAAGCTTAAGCCTTTAAACAATATTTCTTTTAAATAGGTTTCTGTACTGAACTTTAAACTTTTATCAACTATGTTGATGGTTTCCTCTTGGTATCACTAATAATTGCCAATAATATTATTATATAAAGTGATTAGAAGATCAACGATGTTATTTAATTTACTAGGAGATATTAAGATTCTATTGAGTTTCGAATATTTTTTAAAGGGGGCCAAAGGGGTTTTCTTTCAATTTAATGTGGGTCTCACATTTTCATGAATTTTAAAAACCATTGGAAAGTGATTAAAAAATCGAAGCTTTGCCTAGCTGTCAGTTTTTATTGAATTGAGTTGGAGATGTGAGATCCAGTGGGTTTCCGCTGCGAGTGTGTACTTTTGTAAGGTGGATATCAAGGTCGAGGTGGCAATCGCCTTCCTCCAAGCGTCCTTGCAATCTGGGTCCATCTCGATGCCTAGGTCTTCCATCGGTTGCCGCACTCGTCGCACATGACGAAGGTGACCATGGGCTCGCCGCCATCCTGGGTGTGCACCTGGATGCAGTTGCGCTTCTTGCAGCGCGGACACTTGAACAGGTCCGTCTTGGTGCCCTGGGGCATCTCGGCCATCTGGGCCTGGTTGATCGCCTCCTGGACGAACTTCTCGCGCATCCGCCGCAGGTCATCGCTGGCCATCTCCTCCGGCGACATCCTGGCCAGCTTCTCCGCGGAGAGGAGGCCACGCAGGAAGCGGTCGCGCAGGCCGGGATTCTTGGGATCCCGCAGGTTGGAGAGGCGCGACCGGATGCGGTTCTTGTACTTCACGTCCGAGTTGCTCAGCTCCTCGTAGATGGCCTCCTCCAGCTGGACGGCCTTGTCCTCCGGATCGCCGCTCCCCTCCGGCAGGTCGCCCATCCGCAGTGCGGATGTCAGCATTTCGCGGCACTTCAGGCGCACCTCAAAGGTCATGGCTGTGAAAACGGGGCCTTGATTTACGCAACTCTGTAGTCACACTTCCTAAAATTGTGAAAAGTACGGGAATGAATAATCGATTGAAACACAAATGTGCACTACCACACAAATGTCAACCACTGCAAAAAAAAAAGATTGAGAGTCCAGCTCTTAATTGGTGTAAGTATTTACAAAACCGAATGTTTTCAAGGCTCAAATGACGACACACAAAATAATTCATTGGGTCTGGCTTACAGTTGTAATTAGTAAAAATCAATAAGAAAATTTCAATCCCTTTTTTTTCTACATTTAAATCTCTTGACCCAAGAAAATGTTGTCAAGCCGATTAATATTAAAAATATAAATATTGAAGATTTGTAGTATGTGTACAAAAAGCCACATTATTGGCAAATTGGAACGTGTTTAGTAATTATACCTTTGATTTTCATAGTTTCAACACACAAAAAACAAATAATATTTAAATTTAACTTGGAAAGTGGCAGCTTATAAATAAAACTGTATGTTTTGAAAACTGAATGGATGGAGAGTTAATAAGTATGTAAATAAAAATATATAAGATAATAAATATATATAATTGCACTTTAAGAAAAAGAATACCAAAAGTTGTATTAATAATTCTGGATTATCAATATATCCTTAAGCTTTATAAATAATAAATGGAATGAAACGAGTTTTTATAAATTCCATTTATACCTTTATTATTTTCCAAAGTTAATTCGTAAAATAAAAATGACAATTAAAAGGGGCAACATTAGGTCCACAGATCCAACAATCGCCATTCCATGACACCCATGGTGTGTCCTAATGGATGATGGGTGCAAAAAATAGGCACTGAAAGGAAAACAAAACTGAAATTGAAATTGAAATGAAATGAGATTTCCCATATAGTCTATATGTTTGTGTTTGTCGTTCCGCTTTCTTTGTGGGCTGATGCCTTTTGATTTCGCTAATCGTCTACAACAACCAGCGCGGGATGATCTAATTATTGACGCACGAATCCCACAGAAACACCAACAACACCGAAAAAAAAAGAAATTGAAAATTGAAAATGGAAAATGGAAAACGGAAAACTGAAATATTGAAAAGGCAAACAACAGCGGCAAGGCAGCCACAAAGAGCTAAACGAGCGAAATTGAAAGCGAAATCGAATTTAAAATCATTATCCAAGTCATTAGCTCTTTAGCAAGTCGTTGTTCTTTTTATTGTTGCCGGATACAAATCGGCTAATGTACTTATCCCCCCGCGATTCGTCCCACTGTGCGCGTTTTCCCAGCGTTTTAAAACGCCTCCGCCGCCGACCTTCAACTGTTAAACTTGACGACCTCACACAACGCACCCAGCACCCAGCAGCCAAGATACAAATGTATCTATCAATGGTCCATCGAATTGGTTCATGGCCGAGTGTTGGCCTTGGCGGCCTTTTGTCTTTCGGCCGCCGAAATCACTGATTCGGTAAACAAGCCCCAGAACAATGGGAAAAGCTTGAACTTATGGCCGAAAGATTCGAGGAAGGGAAATAAAGACTCCAATCGTTTGGGGGAATACCCTCAATATTACAAGAAAATTACAGAAGATTTAGACTTTAGGTAGTAAAACAATCAGAAAGATTAGGAACATTCTGTTTAACCTAATTTTAATGAAAAGGCGCAGCAGAAAATTCTAAAATATATGTGTATAAATCAAAATTTAGCATTTCAAGTGTTTTATATAAACTTAAAGTGTAATTTAAGGGCAACATTTAGGCGTTTTGCTCTTGAAAGAGTATCTTGCATCTAAAGAAATTGTATCCACTTTGTGTTAAAAATGCGAATTTTCAATTTAATCAAAAATAACATAAGATTTAATGCAACAAAAGTAGGTAAGCTGAAATATGATTAAAATATTTGTTTACTAAGAACAAAAGTCATATGTAAAATAGAAAGAATTGAATTCTCCACTCATTTGATCCTAATTTTAATATCCCCACTGCTAACTGCATAATATAGTTACACCATTTAAGAATTATGAGCTTCCAAGTTATTTTTCAGTAATTTACATACATCGATTTGAATTTGGAAATTATTGCAGACGAGTTGCCCTTTTGGAATCGATGGATGGACGTTTAATGGACGTTTCCCATCCGCGAAGTGCAGTTACATTTGCTGCCTATTTGTCTCCCGCTTAAACCTGCCCGGCCCCGCCCCCTGCCACGCCCCCCGCCCGCTACGCCCCTGGCGTGGCCTTCTTTCACCTTGGCTACGTGATGCCATGGCGTGATCGTGTAACAATGCGAGTGATTAGTACGCGCCGGCGTTCAAAATGCGCAATCCGCCGATGGCAGCGAACTTTACCTTTTTTCGTTGTTGCAGCCGCAGTGTGGAATACCGCTTATCGACCTATTACTTGGCCATGTCTGGATCCAGGGACACTATGTCACTCGACAGGCCAATGGATTTGATGATTTTTCATTGGCAAAAAACACCCTTCGTTTCTTAACTTGCCCTAAATAATGAATTATCCCAACGTTTCTAAAGAGGAATACATTATATTTAACATAATGAATGGTTTTGTGACCTTTATATTCGGTAGTTAAAAATTTAGCACTTTTTGAAAGTCAAACAAACCATTGTCCAAGAACATGAACAGGGCTTGATTACCTTTTTGAAGTTTCCGCTTCTGGTACGCAATAATTCCCAAGAGGTTTTAGCTTCGCAGTGGTGGTCAGCCTTTAACCGGCGAGTTCTAATGGAATTATATGTATGTTATTGCTAGGATTTGATCAGCATGAATTCCTATTAAATGCTTATACTATAAAGATCTGTATATATTGAAATTTTATTGCGCAATCGACTATACAGGGTACTGGCTGGTTGAATCGGCCATGTCCGACGTTAAATTTGTTGTATTTTGCAGCTTTTGCAGTGGCCTTTGTTACTGCTGTCTGACTGACTGTCTGTCCGCTGTTTTCAGCTCTCTGGTCGTCGGTCGTCGGTCGATTCGAGGCATTGCAGCATGCGCGCATGCGCCGTGCACTGCAACTGGCGGCCGAGTGAAATGATTTAGTGTGATTTATCTGCGAATTCCTTCTTTCAATCTCTTCTCACGCCACGGATCGGTTCGGGAAGGGCCTCTGGCCCCGAGGAGGATCCGATCCAGTGGTGATCCACGGGTGATCCAGGGGGGCAGGAACGTGGAGCATGGGGCATGGGGCATGGAGCTGGAGACCCGGGCAAAGCCCTGCTAAATGCGGCGTGGCCACGCCCCCGTGTGTCGAGTCTGTGGCGGAAGGTGTTATAAAAGCGATAATAAAAAATTATAAGCTATGCCCCATAAATCGGCATTTAATAGTTGAAATTTACACTGAATTGACAGTGGCTCGCAAAAGTCTGCGACGGAGTGTGCAGAAATACTAAATTATCGCAGGCAGTTCAGGTAGGTCTCCCCGTACATCCAAATCTATATCCAGATCCAGATTCGGATTCAGATCCACCCGCAGTCGAGGATCTGGCGGGGATCGGAGTAACCATTCCTACGATCCGCTGCCGAGGGCAATCGACGCGATTTATGATGCATCATTATAACAATTTTTATTATGGTTGTATTTTGAAACGCACGCCAGCGAAATCATCTTCATTTATGAGTATATGCAAATACTCTGCTCAGCTCTTAAAGTTTTACAAGAACGATAGCATGTTGGTTCCTATAAAAAACAAATGCATTCTATAAATACATTTGATTGAGTCTATCTATAGTTATTCAATAAACTACTTCCCCTATTAACAGGCACCATATATCTTATCTTATCTTTGAAAATAAAACGAACGCCCTCAACTCAATGCAATGACATAATTTTATTATTGCCAACTACATTCGTTTGAATAACGATTATTTTATTAATGGCGACAAGCCAAAATAAATAACAAACGCAACTGATTGATGAATTAATTAAATCATTAGCATAAATCAAATTAAAACCCTGTTTTGTTAAGTTGTGCAGCTTGTGGGTTTCTGATAATAAATGTGTGTTAAAAATATAATACTCTACGACCTCGGGCTTACTGAAAAGTTCTTAATGTGCCTATATAAATATAAATAGCTTACACTATTATTATTGTAATTATTCCTTAAAGGGCAAAGTCAAAAGAAAACGCATTTTTTGTTGATTGCAACTACTATTATACTGACTTATTAAAAATCAACTTTAAATAAGAAGGTAAAACAAATGGTTTTTTAAGGTAGAAACAAACTGTTGTGGAAGTCAAGTTGTTCATAAAAAAGTAAAACAAATAGTCCTATTTCAATAAGTTAGGTTGTCTATGAAATATGTCTATAAAACATTAGCCTTAAAAAATATTTCACATTACCTTTAAAGTGAGGGCATAGTGGTGAGTTAATTGCTGCCAAAATAATACCGGTACTGAAATAAAAAAATATTGTAAGAAAAGATCAAAGAAAGGTTATGCTTGTCGTACTAAAATCAAAGTTCCTTGAGTTTGTCATCATTATCTCTGTAAGATCAGCCCGAAATGATAGCAATCCAAGTTCTTTGGTAACTAATTACAAAGAGTACTTTATGACCATCATCCTACGGTTTCGACATGCACTGTACGCGATGAGATATGGTTTCGTCTTCGTTTTGGGGTAGATCTTATCAGTTGGTTCCGATTCAAGACTGAGTGGGGAGGGGAAGGGGGGGATGGAGGGAGGGGGGTTCCAGTCTTTTGGCCATTTTATCTGGCACACTCATACGCTCCGATCATCGTAATCATCCTCATTACAGCTGATAATGCCCACAACAACTTTATCTGATTCGTGTTGCAATTCTGACCTCGCCTCAGTATTCCGCTCCACGTTGTCTTTAATTTCCCTGTTTTTTTTTTATGTTTTATTTCCCTTTTTTTTTGGCTCCAATGAACGTCTCCATATTGTTGGGAAAATTTAAAATAAAACACATTCCGAGGTTTGTTCGGTTATCGGGACCTGTTGTTTATCTTGTTTATGGCTGACCATCAAAGTCTTAACACATTTGGGGTCTGTTTGTTCTTGATTTGTCTTATTTGCCC